ATCTTAACATTCACATTTCACTTCACAATTTGACTCACGCACAAAAATGTTCAACTTCACGTACACAATAACTTTATATACATATGTTTATATGCATATGTTTGTATATAATTGCCTTAATAGAGATACCGGTAATTATGTACTTAAGCACAGCAAATCAATGTTTACGAATATCGATGTATATAAGGGTTACATTTCTTCTTTTATTTACTGTCTTTTCCATTGGCGCGTGTTTAGATTAAGGAATTGTTCGAAAGATATCGGAGATTGCGTGGCGACTGTAATGACAATTGAAATTGAAGCGCGACACATTTTGACCGTATACGTATTTAAATACTGGAACGATTATGTACTCAAACCTTTATCTAAACAGTTGCATAATATTATAAATAATATGTAACAAGTTGTAGTGCACAGGTAAGCTTATTATTACATATACCTTGAGAATCGAACAATGGAGCCCTGCCTTTTGATAACTATTTGGGTAGAGATTACTGTTGTAAAAGCCAAAAAATGCGATAAGGTAAAGATATGAATCAAAATAATAATAATTTGGAGCTTTCTGCATATTTAACCAAGCATCTCCTTCTTGAAAACTGGAACATCTGATAATATTCGGTAAATAAAACATCAGAGAAGTTTTGGCCCGCCTGTGACCCACTTGACGACTTTGATCCTATGCATAACCATGAAGAAGCTCAAGCAGCAGTAGACATCTCAAATATCATTTGGATCAAAATCTGATGAAATGTTGGTCATGAAAAGGCTATCGTTGTGATCGATCCAGCGCCTGCTCACTTTGAACAAAAGGGGTAACCGTGAAACCACTTCACAGCGGTATTTGAGCCTGTTTAAATGTAATCCGAAGAACTTCTTGTGTCATTTCATAACCGTCGACGAATTATGAGTCCACTGGTACACAACAAGGAAAGGGCAAATAAATGGATAATGGACGAGCCTGCTCAGAAGAACTTGAATATTGTTCTATAGATCGTAAAAGTAATGGTAGCCGTTTTCAGCGATTCAAAAAGCGTTGTACGTGCAACTTTTTCTTCTTCACGAAGTAGTCTTATAGACTTGGTCTTTGTTCATCGAGAGGAGACTTTACTGCTCAATCAATTGTCTACTCGGTCTGAAGTAGCGCCTGTTGGCAAAAGTTATTCTGCATTGAATTTCGAGGCTGACGTTGTTGTGAGTTCCAAGATAAAAGATATTATCTACGACTTCGAAGTTGTGAATTTCAACAGAATCGTGGGAGACAAGTCGCGAGTGCGACGACTGTTTGCTTGATGACAGGAGATATTTCGTCTTGTTCTCGTTCATAACCAGACCCATACGCTTCGCTTCCTTATTCAGTCTTCAGAAAGCAAAACTAATGGCGCGGATGTTGAGGCTAATCGGCGTACATACGTCAGCTCGGAGGAAGGAGTCATATGCAAATATTCTAGCAAGAGACAACAGCTGTCTGAGCGTCATTCACTTCACAAGTATCCTCTGGGTAGCCGAAAACACTTGTTTGAAAGCGAATCATCCTTACCAGCGTTGTGCCACTAAAAACACCCCCATTGAAAAGTTCAAAACTTTGCAAAGCTCAAGAAAAAATGTTTTTCCGAAAAAATTAAGCTAAAATATCGTTGCGCCAATTTTTTCCACAATAACCGGTTAAGGATCTCTATTATGAGCTTGTTGAAATCAATCCATATACTGAGCTGCATCATATTCCTTTGTGCCGTATTTAATACCCACTGCTCTTGGCTCTAAATATGTCCATATTTAACTGTAATACATAAATTTCCAACAACTCTAGCGATCGACAGCAACAGGCGAGTTAATTAGCTCACCAGCGTTGTTTATATTCATAGAAATGTGCATGTATGCATGTATACGTGAACTTTTTCCACAATGCATTACAGCGCCTGAGGGAGTGTATGGCGGCCAAACTGCTGTTATCTAATAAGCTCCGTGATTTATTGGCGTGTGTTGCCTGTCTATCCGTCTGTCGGTTTGTTCGTCTCAAGTATCTACTTTTAATTTGAGTTTCCCTAACCCCTACTATTTATAATTATTTTACTTAACTTGAAATTTCGCTTTCATGCCACTTATTTTGGTTAGCTGTTTTTCACCTCTTTCGGCTGGCTCATGCTGTGCTCAAATTAAATTTCACAGAGCTTTTTCCATGCATGCGAATCGAACGACTATTGTTTACAGTTTGGCTTGAATAATCAGCACTTTTTTAAACTTTTCCCTTTGTATATATGTAGGTATGTCTGTACTTTCTGGGCTAATTTACGTATGTAAATGCAAAATGTGGAGGTTTAAGTGTTTTGCTCGTAAAACTCAACATCGTAAAAAATGTAATATATGTATCCGTGTGGTTTATATGAAAGTCATTTACTAATTTATTTTACTTTTCTTTGTAGTTGATTTGGCTAAATTACACACCTGCAAGTGTACTATATTTCGGTGTAAACCTGTCAGGGAAATCAAATGACTCTATAAATTTACGTTATGGCAAAGAAGAAATAAGTTTTGTTTATGCTTCGAACAGTCCCTGTAGACATCAGGTGGTATCGGTGCACTAATATAACATTTATTACTGGAGTCTCTGTTTTATGCTACTCACTTATGCCATAAGTTAGAGTTATAGATATTCTCAAAATTATATCGTAAGGAATTTTGCCTTGAACTTTTCGTAGCTGCAGCAGTTGGCATTAGAGAGATAGCAGAAGATCTTAGCATCTCTTAGGCATCGACTCAACACTTTATATTAATATTTTGGGTATGAAGCGTGCCTATGCTAAACTCGTACCAAAAGACTTGAATTTTGTGCAAAAACCACGTATGGTAGAGGCCGCAAAAGAAATGCTTGGCAACTTAGCAGAAAACCCTACGTTTAAATAAAGACCATCACGGCCCAAGCTTATTTCTTCTTCCCGTTCTTTATTTTTATAAAGATAATACAATATAAAACATTTCAATTAAATATTTTTTAATATGACCTTGAGTTCACACCTGTGTTTATACCAAGATCTACCTTGAAAAATATATATGATTGGCTCAACGTAACCTCACGAAAAGCAGTAGTTAAATCACAAGATCTTGATGGCTAATTGAGAGCTCTATGTTTCGGCCACCATAAATTGATCCCGATAAGTAAATTGTTTATGGCTTGTTACACCGAGCCCTTTGGCACATATTATGATTTAGTTATATTGATGCCGCGAATAATTTGCCATCTTCAGTTGAAAAAGTTTGGACCAATAATTCTTTTAGTAATGCAGAACACCGACTCCTTTTTTATCTAAATATCCTTCAAATAGTGTGCAATATGTATTCCACCAATGTCCACTGCCTTAACTGTTTTTGGTATTCGGCTATATCGTAATGAAGCAACATTTTTCTTCTACGGTTAGGAAAGGACCCTAAGGCGGCATCCCCGCAACCAAGGGACCTCAAAGTTGTGATTTCATTCATGTGAGAGCAATCTCAACTCCTCAAATATTCAGTAATATACTTTTTATACCTTTTCACAGCATAATTCCATTAAAATACTGTTCAACGTTTTTAAAGCATTAATATCCCGCTCCTCATGTCTATATAAATCTATATATAAATTTTTTTTCGACAACATGGTTTTCATAAGTATCTATTTAATCGATCTTCTCCTCAAAGCGCGACTAATGCTATTCCAAAATTGTTGAATCTACGAATTTGTAATCCCTTCAGAACAGCTGATAAGTTTTATGAGACGGTGAGGTTTTTGAAAAAACTTTGTTTTGTCGGGACGGTCGAGTTAGAACACGTTACACAAAATATCCACCAAAAATCATTCAAGCGGACTCACGGGAGATGTCGAGCTCTCTTGCTAACTCTCTAACACTTCCCTGACAATTTTCAGACACAATATGCTTCACTTTTTTAATATTTTCATCAGCTAAAGAAGTCGAAGGTCGTCCAGAACGTGGCATGACTCGAACGTCTTTGAAGGCTTTGTACAACTCGTAAGCACACGAAATTTGGTTAGAAATAGAAAGTTCGATATTTTTATCTATCGTAAAAATCGCAACGCACTACTGAGATGTACCGATTTAGCAGCTGCTTTAAACAAACTGATACAAAGATCGAACTCATATTTGACATGGTAATTAAAGACAGTCCTGCGAATTTAGCAAAATACATTTTTTTGAAGTTAACCCAGGGAATTATTCCGCGTATATGTCAAGCTAATCTACGTTTGATATAATTATTAATCAAGTGTTGATATTCTAGTACAAAATTGATAAAAGAAATAATAATGAATTCCATAAGAATTTCTTTTCTAACGATTTCTAGCTTTAACAACAAAAAACAATATAGAAATTCTCCAGTCCAATGAATTTTTATTTTTATTTTATTAGCACTATATTTTATAAATGATTTTGTAAATTTACGGTTAAGTTTAATTCTTGCAAATTGCAGTGAAGTGAAAAATTCACGCACAAGAAGTCATCGTTACGAAATTAGACGACAACGACGACTGACCAACTCGGTCACGTGAATTCCCCATTTCCATAGACTAGAAACACTCTATTTTTTTTTTTAATTTACCATGCTAAAGTTTTAATAAAATACATTCTTCAATAAAGTTAGTATTTCATTTAAATTTACGCAAATATTAAAAAATTCACTGATTTTGAGTTTTTTGTTATTATTTTTATTTTAAATAATTTTGAATCGCCTAATACACTTATTACAGCTCTTTTTTATATTTTTGTTTTTTAATTTTTTTAAACTTATTAATTTGTGCACAAATTTCAGTTTGTATAATTCGTATTATTTTTATATTATAAAACTTATATTTTGCAATTGTTGGAACCTTGCTATGTGCATTACTGACTGTTTTGTTAATGTTAGATAATTTACTTGTATATGATTATAATGTTATAATATTAAATATACGAATATTCACTTATTTATTTTTGCTTGGATGTACTGAAAAACATTTTCGATATATTTGCATCATTTTATATTGTTGTTTTAAGTCTACCATTATTTAAGTTGTTCTTTATTGTTTGTGTGTGTTGTTTTATTGTTTCGGATACATCGATGGGCTAACTCGTATTTGAAACATATTTTTAGACATTTATAGAACTTAGTATTCCGACGCACCCAATACACTGTACATCAAGCGATTGAAGGATGAACTCTGACGGATGGAGTCATCATGTGAGTTTACCACCTGGAAATGGAAAATTTTGAGGAAATAATTAAATAAAAAATGTATATGTAAATATTAATATATGTATTTGTTGTACATCCTTCTAGATTAATTTGGAACTGTACGGTTAAAAATCATTTGAACCAATGAATGCCTAATTTTTATGAAAATAAGTCTTTAAGGAGTTCCTGAACTCTCTACTACAGATTGAATAACTCTGTAGGAAGGAAACTAAAACAATTATTTTCAGACCAATGAAATTAAGAATATTTTCCGAATTTCTAAAAACATGACTTACGACTCAGTTGACAAAACAGTCATTGGAACTTTAATGGATTCTAAAAATATTTAAATATATTATAAGTTCTTCATTTATCTACTACAAATTGAATAATATATAGGAAAGAAGGATCACTGAAATTCAGAATATTTTTTGAACTTCAAGTAATATCCCTTGCAGACAATATGATCTCAAGAGTCTTTAAGTGAATAAAGAAATCATCGTTTCAACTTTAATTGGTTCAAAAAATATTTACGATTATCATCTCAAAGTTTGTTTCTCACAAGAAGTAAATAATTCGAAATTGTATCACTATTTCTATCTAATCCTATCGTTCCTTCCTCAAATTATAAGGAATCAATAATAATGTACAAGGTGCGTTCCAAAGTAAACAGGACAGGAATCTAGAGCCCCCTGATGGTGCCATCTATATGTCGACTGGTGCGTTAGATTCGACTGTCTTTATCGATTATCCAGTGAGAATTTCATGAAATTTCATAGCTTCGAAGTGAAGTTATTGCGTTTTCAGTGTCAGTATGTTTGTGTTATCGGTAAGAAAATGAGCTTCGAACAAAGATCCAACATTAAATTTTGGTTTAAAATTGGTAAAACTAAAACCGAAACGTTTCAATTGATGAAACAAATTTACGGCGATTATTGCCTATCCCGTAGCAGAATGCACGAGTGGTTTTAACGTTTTCAAAGTGAGGACTTAAATGGCTATCAACATTTGGGTCAATCAAAATCCATGATCACCGGAAATTCCATCGAAACTCTGTGATAATTCATCAAAAAGTAGTCGAAATCAGCATTGAAATTCATGGAAATGGAAGTAAACATCTCCAAAACATCGATTTATCGCACCGAACCGATATTTGACCGAACATTTGGGTTTACGAAAGGTGTGTGCACGGTTTGTTCCGCCCAAATTGACTAACGACCAAAGATTTCTCTCATCGATCGATGCTTGTGACCGATAATTTGACCAAAAATCACATTTTAACCATTAACCATGCCTCATATACACCTGATATGACACCGTACGACATGTTCCTTTTCGGAAAAATTTCATTTTCCTATGAAAGAAAAGCGTTATGCAGACGTAGAGGCCAATGGCTTGCACCGGCATACTGGCGGCCCTACCGCCAATAGGATTACCCACGAAGGAGACTATTTTGAATAAAATAAATTGAGTTTGCCGAAAAAAACCATTTGTTCTGTTTTTTTTTTGTATTTGTATTATACACTTACTTGCTGAAATATGAAAATTTTAGACTACATTTTGGTGATGGAAATCCTTTTAAATGATTATTTTATTCTAAATTAGAATAGAATAATCGAAATCCGAATTCAGTGATCTTTAGAAAGCTTCTGAAGTATATAAGTGTCTCTGGGAAACGAAATTTTCTATTTTTTACTCTTTCTCTCTAAGTTTTTTTTCTAGAAAACAAGTCTCAGTCGCGATCTGTTCTAAGAACTTTTTCGTGGCTAGCGTCATTAGCGTTATGCATTAATATAGAGTTGTTAGTTGTAGAAAGAAACATTTCTCAAAAAAAATTAATATTTTTTTGACGATAGCCAAATATTGAAAATATAAAAAGAGTTCAAATGAAATGGTCAATCGAAGCAGAAAATACGCATATAATATAATATAGGGCATTTTTTTTTACATATGGTTGGACGAATGAAATCCTAATAATAAAGTTCGTAGAACATTTTCATTAGAAGATTCGGTTGTCTTAAAACAAGAGAATTGTTGAAAAAATTTCCTCCAAACCTGGTCTATGCGTGGCTTATTGGCCTTACAGTGTAACCCAACCTAACCTATACATAAATATTATCAAATGAGAGACCTTCGCTTGGTTTATCGCTTTTGCTATCAAAAGTAAGTGTTGGTTAACATTTATTACCACGAGGATGAGGTATAACATAAAATATAAGATATTACGAGATTACTTACATTGTACGCCGTGGGGGGAACGAGCGTTGAGCTGGGTTTCTGAAATACCGTTAAAAATACTAATAGTTAATAAAAAGTTGCATATTTTGAAATACTTATACTTAAGTTGAAGTGATCTTGTGATAAAACATTAATATGCTTTTTGAGACAATCGATACAAGAGGTGTGTTCGTTATAAGATATAGTGAGATAAAAGAAATTGAGAGCGCAATTAGACAGTAACTGATGCCAGCTACTGAGAGTATTTGGCAATTGGCTTTTGATAATGTTGAGAGAGCCATTTGACATCAACTACCCAATTGACTACACTGATCATCCTATAACGAATAGACCCGATAAAGCTAACGAATTGTTATTTATAAATGTTATTTGTTAAGCTAGAGTAATTTTTAATTTATTGTAAAACGAAATGATATGATGATTTTATGTACACAGATGAGGACTAATACGCTTAAATGGATAACTTGTTTGACAGCTGCATTGGTTACTTTCAGATTAAAGTTTGTCTAAATTTAGATTAAAGTTAGAACTGCTATAGATTTGAAAAAAAAAGAGATTTCAAAAATTTTTTCGCCAAAAATGTCGAGTAAAAACTCGGCAAAGATAATAATTTTCACAAAATGTTTTATGACTACACATACGATTACAAAATAAAAAACAAAAGTGGGATAGCTGGTGATTGAGAAATGATGCGATGCAGCGATTTGAGCCTGCGAGCGAGAGAGCTGTCAAAAATGCTGTACACAACGACGCATGCGTTAAACGCTAATGTAATGAAGAGTACTTAAAATAACATATTAAACATTTACATATGAAAATAAATCATTAATGATAATTAATGCGATGAAAACAACATTTTTATTTTTCAATTTGCTGACCACTCGGCAAGTCAGTAATGCAACACGCATAGAGAGCCATTTAGATATTATTCATAGCGTGCGTGAGTCTCACATGTAAACGAAGCTTTTCTCATTAAACTTTTGAGTAATTTCTTTTTGAGATTTTTTTGTGAGTTTTTTAAGTTTTTTTTTTTTTTTTTTTGTTGTTGTTTTTTTTTTTGTGTACTTTTTTTTTAGACGACCACGTGCATGCGTATGTGCGTATGATAACGGTGCATATCAATGATCGATGATGATCAGTGATCGATGTTCGATGATCGATGAACGCAAGCAGCAAGTCATTACGACCTTACCTTTCCTGGAACCAATCGGTTTGGTTGGAAGACCTTTGGCTGTACCGGCACTGTCACTTCCTGTAGTGGGGCATAACCATTGCCATAACCCTCCTCCTGTATGGCTCTATAAGTTTCGCTCTTCGATGGATCAAAATGAAGAGTCTTCTTATAACTGTACAACGTTGTGGTGCATAAATATAGAGTTTATTTATATTTTTACCATTTTTGTAAATTATTTCAATTTTTTTTAATTATTTCAATTATTTTTTTGTGTTTCCATTTTGACGTTTTCCATTATGCCATTACATTGTGGTAATTATGTAATCGATATGCAATTTGTTTTTAATTCAATTGTGCATATTGCAAGTATACCATGCCACAGTATCGATGGCGTCCGTGGTTGATAGGTGTCACATGCGGACGAACAATGGCACAGTTCAACGATTTTTTTTGAAAGTTTTTTTTCAACGTTTTTTTCGGTGTATCGCAGCGGTTTTTAATTGTAACAGTTTATGGCGGATTTCGAAATAGTTAGTTTAGTTGTTGTCGTTTTTTACCGTTTTTAGTTTCAAATATGTTTTGTATAACAATAATAACAATATCGTTTTTAGTTTTTTGATTTTGGTGTGAGTTTATGTTCAGCCCCAATCAAATCGTTTCGAATTCATTTCGCATTTAGTTTTTGAATATTCAAGGTACATCGATTTTATATAATATATATTTATGTATATATAATTTTTTGTTTTAGTTTTTGACATTGCAGTTGCGTTGAGATTTTGTGTATGTGTTTGTGTGAGAGAGAGAAAGAAAAAAACAGGATGTGCACAATACGTTAGAATTAATAGTCATTAAAATTTTGCAAACAAATTAATATTTTGTGTCTATTATAATTTGTTTAAAAAATGGATTTAGTATGTATGTATGTGAGAATGTGGGTAATTTGTATGCGTGGGCGTGCGCAGTGTGCAATTTTTTGAATATGCAACAACGTACATATGTATGTAACTATGCGTATGCCTATAAAATGGATTATGTAATGTCAGCGACATGAGCAGATATATTTATAAATTAACTATATATGTATTTATGCAATTACATATGCAGCAGCCAACTCTTAAGTACTAAATTGTAACTCAATGTTCAGGCAAAGCATGGCAAAAATCGGTTAGTAGAACAATTCTAATAGCTTTACTGTTATTTCATTTCAGTTCTTCTAACTTTTTCTAATTTTAATTTGAAAATAGACGCTAGCTATTTCATAACTGTATGCTGTTGGTAGTAGATATGTATGTATATATGATTTTTCTTTGGTGTAAGTAACTGCTCAAGCCTTGCTCTCTGCTCTGCAAAGCAGTTAACCAATGGGAAAGCAACGGATTATTAATATTTAATAATTTGGGTAAAAGTAGTGCAGGATTTTTAAACAGGAGTTAGGAGTAAAAAGTAGGGTTGCAAATATTGTATAATTTACTTAACATTTGACATTTTTTTAATGGCAAAAATCAATTGAAAAATTTTAAAACCAAAAAAATAACGTTTAAAACTAAATTTTTATTATAATTGAAAGATAAAAAAATATGTATTTTTAATCACACTAAACATTATTTCCAAATAATTAAAAAATAAAAAAACATGTTATCTGTAATCATATTTTTAATTAATAATTAAAAATGAAATGTTTCTAGAATTTAAATTTTATTTATGTACATGTGTGAACTTCGTGTTCTGCTATTATGCTTGTCTTTTGAAAATAAAAGCTTACTTCAGTTGGAACTAAAAATATTTCTCAATTTCAAGCTGTAATGAGAAAAGATGAAAAAGTAAATCTTTCTTTTCCTTGAGAAATATTTTTTTTATATTTTGCAATTAACAATTTTTACATTATTTTTATTTTTGTTGTTTGAAGTTAATTTTTGTATTTTATAATCCCAAGAATTAAAAACAAAACATTCAAATCTTCAAAATTTAATCCTATCAATACAAATACAAAATCCTACACATCTTAAATTTAAAAATTAGATTTTCAGTTTATAATCCCAAAACCTTTCTATTTTTACTCCCAAAATTTGTAATTACGAAATTAAAATTTTAATTTTAAATGCCAACTTCTTAGAAAACTTAAATTTTTAATTCTGATTTTAAAATTCCTTAATTTAAAATTTAAAATCTAGATTTTGATATAAAATTTTTAATTATGAAACTTGCAACCCTGTTTAAAAGTGATACGTAGGAATCTAAATTTTGAAAAAAATAAACAAAAATAATTATTGTTGCAATAAAATTTAGTTTTTGATGTCATTAAGAATACGAAATTAAACAAACCAAATAAATAAAATAATTCATTACCAGAATTTGCTATAAACGCATATATGCCAATTTATGATCTATGCCGCAATAACCAATTAAAAAAACTATGAAACGTGCCTTAACCTCACTTAAAATTTATTTTTCAGTTATTGTGTTAAAAGTTGCTAAATATGGTGCTTATGAAGATATGAATGAATATCAGAGGCCAATTGAAAATTGCAACGCGCTTTTTACAAAAAAAAAATAATAATAAATAAATTCAGTGTAGAAAGGAGTATCAATCGTTAAAAAAAAATCGCTAATTATAACAAATGGGTTTATGCGCTAATTCTTTCAAGTATAGTGCTGAACTTTTTTAAAATATTTTTGATTTTTAAATATGAAAAGTCGCAAATTCGTGCGTATCGAAGTTGCATTATCATTCTTGAGCTTATATGTTATGTCTAGTCTTTCTTGTTTTGGTGGGGGGTATACATATATTCTTTTTTTTTCGCTAAGCAATTCTCTTTTATGTTTGTTTTTTTTTTCAAAATTTTTGTATATTTTGTAGTTGTTGCTGTTGTTGTTGGCGTTGCTGTTGTTCTTGCTGTTCTTTCAGTTCTCTAAGTTTTTGTTGCTCCAGTATTTTTCGTTTATGTTCCAGGAAAGATAGATCGATGAAAATTCTATTATTAATTGTGCAGCTTTGTCCTTTTTTCACAAAATATTAATACATTTTGTTTTTAATTAATTTTATAAATGCTACTTAACACACTTAGTTGTGTAATAGTAGTAATGCCTGTAATGCCTTCAGTGAACGGTACTTACAATTTAAATATTTTTTTGTATGATTAATTAAAACTCTGTAAGTGTGGTGTTTAAATTAATATTATTATTATATATATATATATTTTTTTTTTTTGTACCTAACTTCCTCTAAGAGAGTGACCTAACCTCAATTCATCAATTATATTCTTTTTAAAATGCGTTAAATGCAAAATTCTAGTTCATTCGAAATATTTTTTGTATAAATGTATAAAAAACTACAGTGTCTTCAGAAAATTGTTTCCACACAAGCACAAATAAGGTTTAAGGACCACTAGCACAAAGTAATAATAAACTAACGGCATGCTGTAAATGATTTTAATGGCAAAATTCTGAGCGTTAAACTCTATCAATTAATTAATTTCTATTGAGTTTTGAAATTTTTCAGTTTTAACGTTTAAATTTTGAAACATTATAGTCTAGCTGTTTCGCATACTGTTTGTGAGATACACTCAAGATCATATTTGAGTCAACGCTCTGCCGTCGTATTCGCCAGATTTGGCTCACTGTGACTTTGTTCTGTTCCCGAAACTGAAAAATCCGCTCTGGGGAACGCGTCATGAGTTCATTAGCCCAATATTTAGAAATCGCCACAAAACTTATATATTATTTATCGATTCGGTTTGCGCGTATATAGATAGGTATGCTAATGATCCCGTCTTTATGCGAAACATCCGATCTTCAAATGTGTTATCATAGTTTACGACTAGTACATATCTCAAATAAATTTTTAAATCGTTAAAAGAAATGTAAAGTTGTGAAAAAATACTTTTATGGAATGTAATCTTTTTTATGTAATTTAGAAAAAAAAAGTCATGAAATAATAAATGAACAAATAAAATTGCACAAATACTTATTCACAACAACATTAAAAAATACTGGGAATAAAGCAAACATAACTAACACACACTCGAAAACTTCTACTACTAGAAGTTAATCTTCTGAAAGAAAATAATAAAATAACCATCAAAAGCACTACCAAACAACTTTTCAAAAGCGTTAAGTTTTGAATGAAGATTTTTAAATCAACTAATGAATTACCAAAAATGGATTTTATGGTAATGATTAGTTGAAAATATGCAGTGACTTTTGTGATCTACTGTTTGATTGATTGTTTGGGTCGATCGAACTGATTGACTGATTGTCGGTTTGATTTGTAAAATTTACTTTTACCGGTCAAGTTTGGTCGGCATTGGGCGATGCAAAGGACTACTCCTTATGCGCGGACTTTCAGTACTGGCACTACAACAATAATAATTATAATTTTTTTATAACATAGTCTTTGAAATGCAATAATCTGCACACAAACATACATACATACGTACAAGTTAGATTCATAAAAATATTAATTATACAAACTAATACTTGATATTGATGTTAAAGTGTTTTTGTGTATTCCCTTTTGTAAAAAAAAAATATTTGTAATATTTCAAAATAAAAGCTAATGCAAAAAAAGCACACTGTAACACATATATTTAAGCTTTTTAATACTGATCTAACAAAGCTGCTTATTTACTATATAATAAATAATATAGAGATGAACTGAAGCAATATTCAATGTAAAAAATTTGCTAATATCTATTTCAGATATTGAGTTTTTGGAAATAATAATTTGAACGAACAATGGCCATATACATGTGTTTTATATAGCCATCCACTTTAACAGCTAAGGTTTCAAAAATTTTGTTTTTTAAATATTGCATTTTTCGCAATTTATTATTAGAAAGCAAAATACTGCACATATTTGTATATATTTTCAAAAACTAATAACATTCTGCACAGAAAGTGTATTTAAAATACAATAATGAAAGCATAAGCAGAACAATATTCCGTTTGCTAAGCGTGTAATGCTTGGAAAATGCTCGGGCGTATCAAAGTTTCAAATTACAAACATCTACAACTACATTTACTTAATTTTTAAAATAAAGGCGGATATATTCCGTGAAGCAAGTATTCGAAACTTAAATAAACATTTTGTTGCATATTTATGAATCAAAACCGTTTTCCCGACTTGTATCTTTTGTATGCAGATATTTGTGTAAAAGAATAATATTTTAACGGTCACTTATATACACATATACATATATAGTATTATAGTCACTTTTCTTAATTACCACTCATTTAAATCGGATGTTCATATTAATTTAAACGTAAGCAAACGAATTATGCAAAAATTAATTTCTTATTTCAAAATACCAGTCCGACATCGGATGTCCTAAAATAAAGGAAGATGCCAATTTACCGGATGTCAAAGGTTTACATAAATATTTTATTATAATTAATTAATTAAGTTCCGATTACTCTTTTTTTATAAAATACCTGTTCAGTTACCTTTTTTGTAAACGCTTTTATAACGTATGTAAAAATTAAATATAATTGGTTATATACAACTACTTATGTAATTCGTTATTTTGACTTCAGCTCGTTATTCTTTTAAATAAGCAATATGTGTAGCAATTTGTTCTTGTTTCTAAAAAGCTAGTTTTTTCGTTACTACTAAATAAATATGTATATTATCGTATGAATTCTAACATTCTTTTGTGTAATATATTATATAATATGTATAAGTAGCAAATAATTGATACTTACGGAACTGTTTGTCTGATGGTACTCTCAATGTTGCTGTCTGAGTACAGGCCAATGGGAGAGTTGAATTGTTTGTGGAATACCTGTAATATAGGTAATTAAAGAATTAGTACAGCGAATAACTGAAAGACCTTAAACACAAAGGACATAATTTTCAAATATAGCATTTTTGTAAACATACCCTGCCAGAATCGGCATCCTGACCAACAACCTTGTGCAACATGGTGTCAGCGACACGTTGCTTCATCACACTGTCATGAAAATCGTGGCCGCGGTTAGCGCGCACAGCCGGATTTGGGTGATACCTCAAGTAAGATTCTGTGGTTGGGGCATCCTTCTTGACCTTGGCACCGGGAAGTACCAATGGAGTTGTGCGGTAGGGCTATGAAAAATAAGAAATATATAAATAAATTATAAAATTGTCACAAGGTTTTGTTTTATTCGATATTTTCTAATTAATTTTCATTAAAGCTTTAGTGTTAAGAACAAATGAGTTTCATTTCAGTACCAAAAGTAGTTCTAATCCATTGTTTTGTAATTCTATATTAGTACATACCGTGGGATAAGAATATATGACGTCGTAGATTAGAAAAAGTCAATGTGAGATATATTCGAAAATACTACCAAATAGCAAAAAAATAATATTATTATGTTTCGAAAAAACAAATATTGCAAATTAACACAAAATTCACATAAAACAATTTAGAGTCAAGGTACATAAATTAATTGTGAAAACATTTAAAGAGTTTAGAGCAAAATGTATGGGCACTGCAAATAAGCATTAAGGATTGCATATAATACGCAGGCATATACATGTATATTTACATACACATTGCTTAAAAGAACGAATTTCAAAATACTTATATTGGAAGACTTTTATAAAAGCTCGCAGAATATTTTCAATAATTCTAGAAATATTATTCTCAGAACATTTTTATACATATGTATATACATCCGTACACGTATATACTCCTTTGTATATAAATATGCGTGTATATAGTACTCTCCTATCTCAGTTTGCCTCCTACAACCATTAATACTCTCTCTACATTCCTTTATGTTTAAACATTTGCTCTCATTTTATTTTTATAATATCTTACGTAATGGTAACAGACTACACATTTCATTTTAGTTTTGGGAGAACACTAGTAGAGAAAATTTATATTATACATGTTTTGGTTCAAATATCATTAAGCCAAAGACGTAAGACAGTAAAATACATATTTATTTCCGTAAGTATAACCATTTTTGCAAAACGTGTTACACCCTGTGCGGAGTGAAATGGCAACCACAGTGTCACCTGTATTATATGACAGCTGTCATTGAGTGTTTGGCGCCCAACAATTTATTTCTTGATTACTTGTCCAGCATTTTTATTATAATTACTGAAAGAAAAGAATAGAATTGGTTTTTAATACGAAATTGTTTTGTAAAATTATTTTTCAAATATGACCACAGTTCGTCGATCGACAAGACTGAGCAGTGTTGGTAGATCAACACCTACACCGTCAGCTGCAAGCATACAAACACCATCACGGCGATCAGAAGTTTGGTGTAGACGCCAAACAAAGCATTGTACAACAAGTGACGAGGAAGACGAAAGCACTTTGAACAAATCAACAACGCTAGCAGAAATAGATAAAGAAAATACTAAAACTACCAACATTATGAGTAAAGCGAAAGGTAAAGCACAAGCAAAAGTAAAAGATTTGAACGATGTTCAGGAACCTAAAACACCACGTCGGGTGAAGGCAATACGTACTTCAATTTCTAGCAAAGCAACGCCACAAACAAAAAAACGTAGCAATCAAGAGCAAAATTATCAAAGTGAAGAAGAACATGATATCGCAGGCTCTGTACAAAATGTATCTCCACCAAAGTTAGCACGTTGGAAGCACAAAACTGAGTTGATCAGCCCTTCCAGGTTAATTCATAGATTAAGTATTGACGAACGTAAGCAAATAGACAGCGATGAAGAAGATCATCATACGCCCACAAAAACAGAAAATGAAGAAACACAGGTAACACCTACACGTAACAAATACCAAAGTGCACGACGTGTGCTAAATAGTGCAGAAACGCAACATTTACCTGGACGCGAACAACAGCTTCAAGAGTTAAGAGAATTTTTTCATATGCATTTACAGGAACAACGTTCCGGTAGTTTATATGTTTCAGGTCAACCAGGTACTGGCAAAACTGCTTGTCTTTCACTGCTTTTGAGGTCGTCTGAGTTGTCAAAACAATTGCAATGTGTTTACATAAATTGTACGTCAATTGCTAGTATAAATGGTGTCTATAAGAAGCTATGTACCGAGCTCAAGTTACATCCTGCTGGACGAACTGAACGTGATTATCAAGCAGCTGTACAGCAACACTTACGTACAGCGCGTCGCATGTTACTCATTGTTTTAGATGAAATCGATCAACTCTGCAGTACAAAACAATCGGTGCTTTACACTATTTTTGAGTGGCCTTCATTACCAGGAGCGCGGCTCCTTTTGGTGGGCATAGCTAATAGTCTTGATCTCACCGAACGCACTTTGATGCGTCTAAATGCCCGTTGTGAACTAAAGCCACAGCACATGCATTTTCCACCATACACAAAACAACAAATTGTCGAAATATTTCGTGCACGCCTAGAAGAAGCTGGTGTGCTGGAGGTTTTTCCACCTGTTACTCTGCAACTTTTGGCAGCCAAAGTCAGTGCTGTGAGTGGAGATGTACGACGTGCATTGGATATTGGCAGACGAGTAGCCGAAATAGCGGAACAACAGATGAAGATAGGACAGAAAAAAATTAATCTTGATAGTTTGGCTTTGGGAGAGAATGATGCTGAAAAGACTGAAGAAGGTAAACTCAAATCATCTAAACTATTTATGTAAGCTTACTAACTTGTGTTTTCTTTGCAGTTGTTTTAAAACCTGTTCAAGTGACACAAGTCGCTGAGGTGTTAAATAAAGTCTATGGTGTTTCACAGAATTTACAAGAAGACATTGAAGACTCGTTTCCACTGCAGCAAAAGATTGTGTTATGCAGCCTAATGTTGATGCTACGAAAAGAACGTAATAAAGACATAACTATAGGACGATTGCATGAGGTATACCGACGTGTATGTGTTAAACGTAACATACACGCTTTGGATCAAGCCGAATTTGCCGGACTAGTTGACTTAATTGAGACACGTGGCATACTACGAATCATGCGTAAGAAAGAACCACGTCTATGCAAAGTAGTGCTACAATGGGACGAAGAAGAAGTGAATGGCGCTTTGAGGGACAAACAGTTGATTGCTTCAATATTGGACGACACCGCTTGCCTAGGAAATAAATAGCAACTTACTTGCTCTAAATGTTGGTGTATAATAAATCAAAATAAGACCCTACTATTTATTGAAAACATTTAAATCAAATTAATTTTAATATGAGACTTGTTACGCAAAGTTTTATTCATTAAAATATAAAAAAAAAAAAAAAAAACATATTTATCATTCAATTCACAGTGCATAAATTTTGTAGGTTAAGTTATTTCAAAAACGTCGACGAACGGATATGTAATGTGTGAGTAATTAAAGTTAATTCAGCTCAAAATTATCTAAAGCTTACAATCTTTGGTTTATATGCGCGTACAATATTATTTACGTATATACATATCTTTTTTGAATTGGTAACAAACTAAATAGTTTTTTTTTTAGTTTTCAATACGAAAAATGTACAGCGCACCTATAAACCATGGCATTTGTTTGGCTTTGTGCTTGTTGCATTTGTGTGCAGTTGGCGACATTCGTTTGTTCTTGACAATTTAAAGGAATACATTGTTTTAAAATATCGTCGCAATTTCTCTGCGTATTAAGGGGGAAGAGTGCAGCAAAATGTGCAAGCATAAATAGTATATATTTGGATTCTTTCGTAAATATACTTTGACCATGAAAATGTACGTTTACAAATATGTATGCTTTTATATGTTGTTGATGTAATTAATTTTAGATTTTACACAATATATTTAAAAATTTCGAAATAAAAATAGATTCGATCGAAAAACAAAAACGCTTCAGCGTTAGTTTTTAGTGGTGATTTTTAAAACCACCGAAAAACAATGATCAATAAGAGCATATATTTAGAAATACATATGTATATGCGCATATGTTGACATTTAAACATATTTCAATAACAAAAAAGCGAGAGCAATCAAATAATCTTGAAAAATAATTTGCACACGAAATTTGTGAAAAAGTGAAAATGGACGTGACAAAGCAGGTGTGGTCTAATTAAATTTGTTTACTGCAAAWGGCGTAGAAATACATATATTATATATGTGCACATGTTTGTAAATACATGAAAAAAGTTTGATGTAAAGCAATATCTATTATTTATATTATTAAGTGATTATTCACAACTGCAGAAACTTTTATTTTATTTTCAAGAATACTGTCGTCTTTTATATGTCCTCCAAGCAGCGTTTACAAAATTATATTATCGAATTTGTCTTGTACTTGTTGAAAGTAAAATTGAAATGTGCATAAATACATTATATAAAAATTTTCCGCTCCCATAAATATACGTACATAGAAAATATATTTTGTGCCTGAAGAATCTGCTACTTTGTTTATAGCTTTGTAAAAGCAATATTTGAAACAAATACATACGTACATACATTGCTATATATAAAATACTATACAGGATATACACACATACATTTGCATAGTAAGGTTTTAGTGAGTCCTAAAAGTCAAAATGATAATGCGAGAATGAATTTATTTTACAACAAATGTTTATAGGCGTGGTGTTCTAAATACGAGCATGTACTATGTCTATATGCAAGACTGTGTGTTTGGCTGTTGCTGCTACCCAACCATAGCGAAAGTATAAATTGTAGCAGTAATGATGAATCCCACAGACTTTAATGTTAATTTTCATTTTTGTACAGCTACTTTTTCATTTTTTATTTCAAATTATTTTCCTTTTTTTTATTTTTTTTGTTGTGTTTGTTCGCTAATGAGTTGCCTGCGCTTCCTCAGCTTTCTAAAAATAATTCAGATAATTCAGATATATATTTCAAAGGCGTACTTTTGCGCCGATACATTGGCAAAATTGTTGAATTTTCAAAATATCACAAATTTCCATCTCATTTAACTGCATACGTGTTGTTTGCATGTATTTTTTTTTTTTTTTTTTTTTTTTTTTTTTTTTTTTTTTTTTTTTTTTTTTTTTTTTTTTTTTTTTTTTTTTTTTTTTTCACGATGGAGAACGTACGGACGTACAAAGATTGCGCATATATTTCAAGTGGGAATTTGAGTTAGAATATTCTAGAGACCACCAGAACGCGCATGTGGGAGCTTTGTTTACAAAGTGTATTTAGTTTTGCTGTTTTTGTGTTTTGGAA